AGGGAATGACCGTACCCCTGTACTCGGCACTGGCGCGCCTCAAGTGTTGTGTTGAGTTCTGGCCCCCCCCCCAATTCAGGATAGACACTGAAGTGTAACACAGCCCAGCCAGAATGTGCCAGGATATGCTCCACTGAACAATAGAGCGGGTCCAGAGGAGGGCARCRGAGCTGGGAAAGGGTTTGGGGCGTATGTCCTGTAAGWAGCAGCTGAGGGAGCTTGGAGTRTKTAGCCTGGAGGARGCTCAGGAGGGACCTTATCGCTCTCTCCAAGTACCTGAAAGGGAACTGGAGTCAGATGGGGGTCGGGCTTTGCTCCCAGACAACAAGCGACAGGACAAGAGCACATAGTGTTAAACTGCGCCAAGGGAAGTTTATGCTGGACATGAGGAGGAATTTCTTCACGGAAAGGGTAATGAGCCATTGGAATGGGCTACACTGGGTTGTGGAGTCACCGTCCCTGGAGGTGTTTAAGGAAAGMCTGGACGTGGCACTGAGTGCCGTGGTCGGGCTGACAGGGTGGCGATCGCTCACAGGATGGGCACGATGACCTCAGGTCATTCCCAGAGCAAACCATCCCATGACCCCGTGACCCGCCGGGGCTCGCGRCAGCAGCGCGCACGCGCGGCTGATGGGGAGAGGCGGGGCGGCCCCGGCGAGTGGGCGGTGCCTCTCTTGTCCCCGCCCCCGGGCGCTTCCCATTGGCTGCAGCCATGGAGGCCCCTCGCCCATTGGCCGGGCGCGCCGTCCGTCCGGGCCGCGCGCTGCCGCCGCCATGGTTCGCTTCAAGAACAGGTGAGGCGGGCGGGAGGCGCCGCCCCGGTGTCCGGGTCTGCCCGCGCCGCTCACTCCGCGCTGTCCCGCAGGTACGTGCTGTGCGAGGTGGTCTCGGAGGACCCGCGGTGCCGGCAGTGCATCGAGGACCGCGCGCTGCAGCTCGCCGTCAGGGACGCCATTACTCGCGTGCACGGCGACTACGGCCTGGCGTGCTGCTCCATCTCCTTCACAGGTGCGGGCGGTACGCGCGGCCCTCGGGGGTGCGGAGCCYCTCCGGGTCCGCTCACCGCTGTGTGTGCCCCCCGCAGTGAAGTACCTCAACGCCTATACCGGGACGGTGCTGCTGCGGTGCCGCAAGGATTCGTACCGGCTGCTGTGCTCCGCGCTGCCCTTCGTGCGCTACCTGGAGAGCCGCGCCCAGCGCTACCCCTGCTTCCTTAACACCCTGCACGTCGGAGGTCAGGAGTCCCCCGGGCCTGGGGGGAGGACGGAGCTTAACCTACCTGCCACGACCCCGTGGTGCTGCTAGGGGTGTGACAGACRTGCCTCGTGTTTCACTAACATCAACTGCTTCCAGCAGCTCTAAATAAGAAACAGGGACCAACAGTTCTTTTTTGAAACCSTCGTTAATTTTGCTTGAAGCTTCATTACATTTATCACAAAACCAAAGCAGCAAATACAGTGTTACATTATTTTCTTTGAAAATATATTTCTAAAAGTATAGTATCTTCTGTATCCTCAAAATTAAGCCCCAGGCRAACTAACAGGCACTGCATGTAAGAAATTATTATTCCAACCACATAACCCCTCAGCAGTGTAGAAGTGAAGTCTACAGCCCCTTCTTAGCATTTACATTAACAAACTTGTTTCCTGAGATATTTGTCACCCATGGTCTTCRGGAAAGACAGCAGCAGCTCTGAAACATTTGTTTATGTAGATTGTTACATACTGTTCTTGTGACTTCCACAGGTACCATAAGAACATGTCAGAAATTTCTGATTCAGTATAACAGAACACAGCTGCTGAGGTTRTTGCAAAACTGTACAAATGAAGGTRAGTTTCTCCAGCCACTTTCCTAAAATGTAGCCTCAATTCCTGGGGATTTTGAAGGGTATGKTGGGCTGCTTCTGAATTCTTGGCTTGAGAAATGTTTCTTTCTTTCAAAGTGGGGGATATTCAAGTATGTGATGAGATCAAGTAATGACCCTCTGTTGCTTTTTTATTGCAGAGGAAAGACAATGTATACAGAAGTCCTTGTTGAGCTGTTCCCTTACAGAAGAGCAGTCTCACAGTGCAGATGAGGAGGAGGATGATGGCACAGAGACAGACTGAATGTCACTTGATCCTCTTCACCTCCATTCTGTACTTGTTAAGATGTGACTGGTTATCTTGAGTGTTAAGCAGTGCAGGGGACAGGAAAAGCATTTGTTCATATTTAGACTTAATTTGCCATTCCAAATGTTCTTATATTTAAAAAAAATAAAACATAGTTTCACRTAAGTAGGCTACTTGCCTGTTTTCACTGCTGGAGTCAAAACCACCTGCACTCCCCTAAGGAGTGTAGCAGTGCAACATGTTCTTCATGCTGAGGTAGAAGTGAGCTTTAGGCAGTTGGCACAGACAAGGAATGTAGTTTTTTTCCTTCACCATACAAAAAGCATTTACAGCAGCTTTTCACCTTATCTTTAAGTGCACTGTTAGCCACAGGGCCATCCATTGTTTTGAGCCAGAAATGCACCAGTTGTGTACAGAGGAGCAGAGAGTACAGGGAATGTATAGCAGAGCTGTGAGGCTCAACTCCATCCCCCCCATTATAAAACTCATTGGTACAAATACTGCTTAGATATTTATTAAGTTTACACCAATCAGTTACAGGAAAGTAGCATTGCTGGTATTATCTCGAATCCATAGGAAAACAAGATACAATTGACGATGCTGTCCCTATGGAGACTGCCCCTCCAGCAGGGACAGCCTGCCTTGCCTGCATCATTTCCCTTATCCTAGTGCCTGTGCATGTGGAGGTGAGTTACACCAGCTCCAGCTATTCTCTCTTCCCAATGCAAAGTAAAGTTGACTATAAATGTGCAGAGATAATWGAACACAACAGATACTGGTTAGACACTTAAATAATTACTCCTGTTCCATGGCTTAAAATGACTTGCTGTGAACACAGTTAACTGCACAGTTGAATCTCTCTTGGTTGCTTTCTCTGCCCTCACCAATTGTTTTCCAATATGCATTTAAGGTATTGACAGCAAGACGTGTTACCACGTTCAGGCATCTTGTCTTAGTTTCTTTGCAGTCCCTTGACAAGCTGTACTGTCTTTCCATCAAGTGGGGTTAGTTGTGACCAAGCRTGAAGTCAAGCTGCTTTCAAAGAATGTTTTGCAGGTGTTTCCCCTATCCTCCCGTAGCAGTTGGAAGCATTCTTTACCTCCCCCCTCTCCTTTCTGGTATACAGCCCCATGTGCCRTGTACTCTTTGGTACCAGTTTCCCTTGAGGCACATGTGTGGAGCCTGTTGCTTTGAAATCAAGCACCCATGTACTGACATCAGCTTTTTTAACAGGGACACAACCACTGACTGCTAGTGGTGCTGGAATAGCTAACTYCAGGCACCTCAAACACACAGTTCCATGCTCAGATCTGTCTCACTGTCAGAGGGACAGAGCACACTAAAACCTGTGCAAGTGAGGCTGAAGACAGTGGAAGACACGTCAGTCTCACACTGTAAGTTAAGTGGTACTTCATACCACGGCCCTGGGATTAATTCTGTCAGCAGGAAGGTAAAATTTGAATTTGTGCAATGAAGTTTCACAGGGCTTCACACTGCTATGGCAGTTCAGCTACAGCTGAGGAAGGGTGCAGTACTGYAAGTGYGTGTGCATATGATTTATTACAACTGKTGGCCTCGACTGGTACATTACACCTAGAGTTCATTTTATTTAACAAAATCCACACCACTTAACTCATTAGCTCAAATCAAACCACAAGCAGTGCAGAATGTGACCACYCGAAGAAAGAGCAGGGAGGGGTCCAGAAGAGACATGTCTGTAGCACAGATCAACTTAAATCCCAGAACCAAGCAGATACAGGCCCTTATCCCAATACAAGAGAACCCCAGTTTCTTCTTCTACCCCAGCTGAGGTATAAAAGTTATCTACAGACTTTAGTTATCAGTTGTTGTTCCAACTCAAGARCAGCCAGTGTCAAACCATCATTCAGGTGATTATAGGGAGCCCTAGGGGAGAGTGTTTATTCTAGATGATCGGGTTAAAAAGAMTGTGTAGCCCATGGTTGGCAAAAACAAAAATAAGCAGCCTCACTCACCCACGTTAAAACAGAGCTGAACAACTGTGAGAAGCCAGGAGGTTCCTTCTACCACTAGTGCCAGTTTGCATTTGGAACTACACAAATCATCRAGCCACTTAAAAATGAAGTAGCCAAATTCTGCTTTACACTCACCTCAACTTTATCTTTCTAAGCCAGGAGAACAGGAGAAATTCTTGCTCTTTAGAAAAAGAACAGATATAGCAGCTAACACTCTAAAGCCAGTAAGCTCTTTTGCCTGTTTCCAGTGCAGCCAAAACCAGTTTCTCAAGAAAGCAGTTTGACAGCTTTACTGTAACAGCACTCCTGTCAGTCAGATGGACTTCTGCYCATGAATAATTAAAGGGAAATAAAGGCTCTCTGCCTTTTCTCTTGGGTAACATTGCAGTACTTTGGCAGTGCCACACAACTGTAAGGACTTTAACACTGCTTATCAGGCCCAAAGAACTKACTCAGCAACTAGAAGCCTTGGCAGGTTTGTCTCGGGGTTGTCGCTTCCAAGACTCTTTCAGTATAAATTCATTAAGCAGTTGGAATCAAAACATGTTACTTTAACGTATACTGTCATGGTTTCCTCCTGAAGCCCCTAGAAGCCCTGGAAACATAAGTTTAGGCTGTTCAAATTTAAATACTTAAACTATAGCAGCAAAACAAAGCAAAATTAAAAGAAAACCAGGAGAGGAAACTTCTCTTGAATAGCAGAATCACTTTGTGTGAACAACAGAGGTGCTGAACAATAGCTTCTGCTTCTGTTTCTTTCTTTTCTTGCCTCCCTTTTCCTCTGTGAAGAATTAAAACAATACTGTCATTCTTGTCATGGAACAGGAACATCACACACAAACGATAAATGGTCTTCCCYTGCCTAAGTGGCTTCTACAGATCCACAACACTTTCTATTAACTCACTGAACACCAGGCAGTTTAACAAAAAAATTACTACAGACAAACTCAGGGAGTGTCATTATACCTGAAACACAATTAAAATAATGCCTAAAGTTGCTTTTGGAACAGCAGATCCTAGGATTGCAGCATGCAGCAGTTTGCCTTTCCAGAAAATATCACTTTCATATATATCCAAAAAACACTACAGCTGGAGCAGATACTCAACTGAAACTCCCAGGCCCTCCCATCCAATTCTCTCCATCATCCAATGMAGTCTCCAAACAGCAGCCAAAGCTWAACATCAGAACTGARCATTAAAAWTTGGTTTCACCAGGTTTAAGCTTACCTCCATTTGTTTCACACTCCCTAACTTGAAATTTCAGCTAGTAGTTACCTTGAGATTTTGGTCAAACTGAAGAAGTTCAGCAGCTAAGGTATTCTGAGTTTAAAAATACATAACCTGAACTTCCTTAAGACAAAGCTTAATTTAGGTTCCAGTAGACATGGCCAGAACGATTGTCAAAAGCCATCTTTGTCCTAACAGGATTCTTTGCTAGGTGGAGAKCTCAGCTCCCACTGAGAGGCTGCTTTATACTGACAAAAGGCCTTGTCAAGCTGTTCAGAAACCACAACCTGACGATTTTCAGAACTGTTCTCTGGCCAATTTTTGGTCCCCCMAAAATTACTGCTTTCAGTTCTCCCACAGGAAGAAGGGGAAATACTGATTTTTTTCACTTCAGAAAATTTTCCCGCCTTTCCCCCTGCCTTTTACCTGATAAATGATCAGCTGTGGACGGTTTGTCCAGTTTCAGGAGGGCTGCCTCAATAGCTTGGCTGAAGGAATTCTGGAAGCTGGGCACAGGTATCCGGTCAGAGCTGTCACTTTCTCCATCACTATCCACAGGCACAGGGAGTGCCAGAGTGTTCTCATCTGAAATGAAGGACATGCAGGAAGAAGGCTGTATTAAACTTTCACCACACAAATGCCCCTCTGCCCTCCAGATCCTTCTTTTGAAGTTACAACATTTCTCTTGTTTAGATGTATGGTAAAGAACCTGAAGTACTTACACCAAATTTTCTTACCTCTTGTCTTTGGAGCAGGTTTAGGCCATGTTTCTGGTTTTGCCTTTCCAACTCTCAACATCTATCAAAAAAATTGTATGATATGATTAAATTTCACATACTTGAACAATCCTGCATACCCCATAAGGGGCAAGAAAATCTTAAAACCCCCTTCTACTCAAACCTTATGATGTCTCCCTAAGATTTATCCCACATTGTTTTCATAGAGGAAGCAACAGTATTCTCAGCTTAATCCCCAACTAACACAGGGGCAATTCTGAAAAGATTCACTCTGCTACATGGTTTACCTGGGCAAAGGAAGGCAAGGGTGACTCTTCTTCCAAGCTTCCACAGAGCAATGGGCTGACCTGGCTGGCAGCAGGCGACAGCAGAGTTGGAATAGACTCTAGAGAGAGAAAGGAGCAGAGAATTAAAGACRGCTGCATTTTGCCAAGGCACTCATTATTCTGCTTATCAGGATGTAATGGATATAAAGTTTTATTATCCTATAAAATAAATCATTTTTCTCTCATTCATCCATCACACAGGGACTCTCAGATTCCCTCCATCTTTTTATTWAAGGGAAWTTTAAGTYTGCTTGGGTTTTTTTTTTTTGTTTGTCTGTGTACTTATTTTGGGAAATTGGGGGCAGGGGCTTTTTGTTTTAGTATAAAGTGTTGGAGAAGATGAAGATGGTAGAAAGAAAAAGATATCAGTAGTGTTTTCCTGACATGCACACTTTTTTTCCCTTTTGGGGCAATTCTTTCCCTTTTTCTGCCTCATGCAAAAGATTGGCAACAACAGTGCAGATCTCATATTGTCTCTAAAGTAGAGGCAGTCAAAAGCAGACAAGGGAACAGAATGTTTCTTAGCCAAGTCTGCCTTTTGTGTCTGTCACAGGCAGTCTAGGAAAGAATCATAGAATCATGGAATGGTTTGGGTTGGAAGGGACTTAAGACCATCTCATTCCAMCCCCTGTCATGGGCAGGCACACCTTTCACTATATCAGGTTCCTCCAAGCCCCATCTAACCTAGACTGGAAAACTTCCAGGGATGGGGAAGTAACAGCTTCTCTGAAAAGAAGCTGTCTTTGATCAGTATTGAGAAAGTTTAGCATGATGACCTGAGYAATAAATCCCAAAAGAATGATCAAGAGCCAGATGTGATGTGTTTTTCCAGATGCTCACCTGTCTGATAAACAGGGCTTCTGCCAAGAGGAGACTGACAGGAGCTCTGATGATCAATGCTGGTAGTTTCTCCAGGGCAAGAGGTAAAAGCAGGAAACTGCTGCAGATTCTCTAAAGCAATATGGACCTCTGGATCTAGAAAGAGATTTTAAATTAAAGCACTCCACAATGTGGGGGAGGACTGTCAATATGCAAGTCATTTCAGTAGTCTAGGAGGTGCCAACTCATTTCTTTCCACCCTCTATTTTGGAGACCAGTACAAGCCCTGCTGCTGGATGGAAGCAGTTTCTAGGCCTTTTTTTGCCTTCTTCACTCTTCATCGTGATTACTATAAAAGCAGAGAGCTATGTACACCATGGAGATGGCTTTGCCCTTGAATGCCCTCCATCTCTCCCAAAATGCACAAGCATGCAGCAATTGCATAACATCACTTAACATCCTGACTAAAACAGCTTATGTTTTTTGTTACACAGACATTGTTTCTAATCTTTGTAATCTTGTTCTAAGTACACACCACAAACTACAAGCCTCAGTGTTCATCTTATAGCTCAAGAAATCAGCTCAGCAACCAAATGTGACTGAAAATCCACCAGTTCTGTGCAATCATGACTTACATTTGCCCTGTTTCTTGTTTTCTTCTATCTCAATCCTGCGTTCGCGCCGTCGTTCATCACGAGCTTTCTTCTGCCGTAGACGTTTCCTCTTTTCAAGGTCATCTATGAGCAATGCACAACATTGCATATCAAAAAACACACACCAATACTCTGGCAAGGTTTCCTCCAGCTCTGAAAACAACCTTKTAATACATTAGTAACAAAATAGAGTAACAAAAGAGTAACATATGCTCTTTTAGGCAGCCAGGATTTTAAATTCTTTTTGTAACTGTTGTCTATGAAACAACATAGTTGTTGAGCTGGGGCTGTTCCATCTAGCAGTCAGACAGTAAACCTCTAATGTATGGGTTTTTTTCTACTATTAAGGGATAAGAAYCAATCCCTTTCATGGCAGAACCTACTAGAAAAGTAGTACCAACCTGAGAACAACTCTAAAGTCTCCTTGGAGATGACAGGTGGCTTCAGAGCCAGTTCACAGATGCTGAACTCACAGGTGAGGGGCAAGTGACAGAGGTAGCGATGACGCTGTCTTATATCCTGATAAAGAGAGAGTGATACATCACCACCACAAAGCCTAGAGCTGCCACTGACAAATGGAGATGGAATGCACACCATTCATCAAACCAAATGGAAAAAAAATAACCACCAGTGACACAATAATTACTTTATAAACTACAAGYACAGAAAGGATGCCCTGAGTCAGAACCAAATGTTCCAAGATCTCCACCAACTACATCCTAATTARACTTGGATGCAGTGACTCCAACTCGCTCACTGATTTTCATGTTCTTCCTCCCTTCTCACTTKTATCACTGGAATAAAATTCTGCAATACCAGACTTGCAACACAATTATTTTTGTACTTCTAGGGAAAAAAAAAAAGACTTCAGCCTACTTAYCAAAAGCAGCATAAAGCCCAATACCTTGCACAGATGCCCTTCACAGATTAGCATCCCTACCCATCCATAGTTATTATTTCTTACTACTGAAGAGAATCAAGTCTCCTCTATCAGCTACAATGATCAAACTGCTAAAACATGGAGCTTAATTAATAAGATAAAATAGCTACCTCTGTCATGGAGTAGCCAGTTATCTCCACTACAGCAGCTGTTATTTTCTCTGGACTCTTCTCCAAGCTGCCATATTCACGCACAAGGCATCGAACGTTCACAGGGTGAAGGTACATGCACTGCCCATCCTCCGCTGAAAGGCAAGACATCATCACTCCTTTGCTTGTTCATTTTTAGTACCCTTCTCCCCACCTCAATACACCCTCCACTTATAAAATTAAAGCTTCTTTCTGAGTTCCTGCAGGACTTTTATTTCACAGGGGTTAGCTGCATCTAAGAAACTGAAAAACACATTCCTCAAGGAGGGTCCCAAAGGAGGCATCTCTGCCCTTATGAGTTCAGGATTTCATTGAACTGACCTTGATAGAAATAGTAAAAAGGAGAGTTGCCAAGATGTCCACTGCTAATTGTATCTTTAGATTCTTGGCAGATTGTTTCAGCTGGAGTTGGTTCTTCTATAGTGTTTATAACAGGTTCTCCTACAGTGTCCACCTCAGGTACTTCCTCCTCATCCAGCACTGCCTCTTCTAC